CACATCCTTTGCTCTAGTGTCCTAAACTCAAAAGGAACTAAATGATTTCACATTGCCTCTTAACCCCTATTATACATTATATTCTTTCCTACACATTTCAAATATCATTCTATTTGGAAAAGACAAAAGGCAAAATCAGAGTTACACGGTTGGTTCTACCTTCTACATCATTAGTCATAATCTCAAATGAGACAATACATGTGTAAATATTACAATACAGACAGACATCATTTGATATTATTATTATCATCTTCTTTTCTATCTCCCTTGGCTCAGTTGTAAAATGGGGAAGATAATATTTGCACTACCTACCTTACAGGGTTGCTGTAAGGGAGGCATTTTATAAACTATAAAATGTTACATAAATGTGTTTAATTATTATTAGTGGAAATCACTAAAATATACACTCAGGAGACCTGAATTCTAGTCTTAATTATGTCATTAATTAGTCACTAATTAGCTGCAGAACCTTGGGGAAGTCACAACCTCTCTAGGCCTCCGTTCTGTCATTTATAAAAACAAGAAGCTGAGATACTTGATTTTTACGGTCCTTTCTGGATTTATTATTCAATGATTCTGTATTACTGCATTTTCCTGGTTTCTCTTATTTCTGTGACAATCTTTTTTCCTTCTCCTTTGCTGTCTACTCTTCTTTCTTGAACTCCCTAAGTGTGAGTAGGTCCCTCGAGGCTCAGGCTTTTCCTCTCTCTGTATGCTAACCTCTTCAGTGAGCTCATCCATTTATTCCATTTCTACCAGTCACAAAAGCTAGAATGTCACCTTGGTTTATCTTTCCTCCTTTATACCTGACATTTAATGTCACCAAATCCCGTTCTTCAAAAGACATCTCATATTCATTCCTCCTCTTTAATTCCTATGTTATCATGCTATTTTAGGGACTCTTCCTCACATATCTAGATTATTGCAACAGCTTCCAAACCAGTCCTGAGCTGTTCTACAATCCCTCTCCTTTGCTCTGGACTCAACTTTTCTTCTTTCAGTGTTAAGCAGGATCACTGTTCTCCATTCTGGAATCCCTTGCTCCATTATCCTTCCACTTTTCTTGTCCTGTCACTTCTCAGCCTTGAGTTATTACTAGTGCAATATGACTGTACTGCTGCTAAACTGAACTATTAGCTGTTGACCAATGTGACATTCTACCTTCCCCTGGGCATTTACAAAAGCAGCATGTTCCACTCAGCTTCCTCTTCATTCTTGCCTCTCAGAATCCTTATCTTCCTTCAAGGTCCAGCTTTGGTCAGATGCCACCTTCTGTGAGACACTCCCTGTTTCTGCCAGTTCTTAGCATTTTCTCTCTCCTCACGTTGCCTTATATTTATTTACCTGTACATGTTGTGCCCTACGCTCCACTCCCCAGGACCCAAGAATGTAAGCTTCTTGAAGACGGGGGCTGTTTTGTTTTTATTTTTGCATATCCAGCACCTATTATGGTGCTTTACACAAAGTACTTAATACATGTTTAATTGAATTGGTCTCCCTGCTCTCTCTTTTCTAGTTTATTCTGAATACCGTTAAAGGTTACCTTCTTAAAACAACATTACCATGGTATCACTCTCTTATTTAGGAAACTTAAAATGTTTCTCTTCTGCCTACTACATCAAATCTAAAAATATGTTGGCTTTCAAGGTCCACCGTAATTGGGTCCCAATGGATACTTCAATCTTAATTCCCATTACTCTCCAGTAAGTACCTTCTGTTGCACTGAGGCAGGCTTCCTTACTATCACCTAAACAACCCACTGCTCATTTCTACTTCTGTTTTTCCTGTTCCTGGAATGCTCTCCTTCCTCCATCTGTCAAAATCCTTGTCATTCTTGAATACTCCTCCCTCTACAAAACTTTCTACTAATTCAGTCTATACTTGTTTCTCCCTTCTTTTAATTCCTATTTCATTTTTACCCAACATCAAAAGTTTAACAGTTAGTTGTTGTCTCCCCAATATAAAGGATGTCCCAAAAATTTTACTTTAAACTTTGAAAGCTTAAAACTGTACTAAAACTTGTGGATCACCCTTGTGTTACAAACTTTTTGAGGGAAGACAGCATATATTATATTTACTTTGTACTATACCCTTTCCACTACATCAGGCATAGTTCATCATACTGTAGGAACTGAAAGAATAGTTAACTAGTATCATAAAAATTTCTCTATGTATGGTAACATACTTTGCACCTAAGTTTCTTAGGGTCTCTGCGTCATTCTGATTTTACTCACAGGCATATTCTTTTCTTTTTTTTAGGTTATACATGTACAATCATATTAAACATATTTTCATATTAGTCATGTTATGAAAGAAGAAATCAGAACAAAAGGGAAAAACCATAAGAAAGAAAAAAAAAGTGAAAACAGTATGTTCTGATCTGCATTCAGACTCCACGGTTTTTGTTTTTGTTTTTTGTTTTTTTTTGGCCAGGCAATGGGGTTAAGTGACTTGCCGAGGATCACACAGCTAATAAGTGTCAAGTGTCTGAGGCCATATTTGAACTAAGGTTCTCTTGACTCCAGGCCTGGTGCTCTATCCACTGCGCCACCTACCTGCCCCTCTCCATAGTTCTTTCTCTGAATGTGGATAGCATTTTCCATCATGAGTCTTTTGGAATTTCTGAATCATTGTATTGCTGAGAAGAGGTTAAGTCTAACAAAGTCAGTTATCGTATAATGTTGCTGTTGCTATGTACAGTGTTCTGGTTCTGCTTACTTCACTCAGCATCGGTTCACGTAAATCTTTCCAGGTTTTTCTGAAGTCCTCCTGCTTATCATTTCTTATAGCACAATAGTATTCTGCTACATTCATGTACCACAACTTCTTCAGCCATTCCCCAATTCATGGGCATCCCCTCAATGTCCAATTCCTTGCCACCACTAAAAGAGCTGCTATAAATATTTTTGTATATGCGAATCCTTTTCCCTTTTTTATGATCTCTTTGGGATACAGACCAAGTAGTGGTATTGCTGGATCAAAGGGTATGCAGAGTTTTATAGCCCTTTGGGAAAAGTTCCAAATTGCTCTCCAGAAGGGTTGGGTCAGTTCACAACTCCACCAACAATGCATTAGTGTTCCAATTTTCCCACATCTTCTCCAGTGTTTGTCATTTTTCTTTTCTCACAGGCAACAAGATGGTCAGTGACTGGTTGTATAAAGAAGTTTTATCAGATCACTTCTTCATAGAATAGGATATTAGGCCACCAAGAAATCACTGGATGGAGTGGGGAGAGAGAAGAGAAGAAAAAGGCGACTGAAGCCACCGTTTGTATACTTTATGATATCTTGGCTACAGTCAGTAGAATAAAAGTAAGAGATAGAGCAGGAGAAGTACACGTCTTTATTAGGCGTCACTCTAACCTGAGATTAAGAGATTTCTGTTTAAATTTAGTAAGCAATGGTTAAGGCAATCCAGAAAAATTTTAACATACAAGAAAAATGCACTTAGAAATTACAGAAATATATAGTCATGTGGTTTATACTACATAATACTGAGGTAGCAGCTACATGGCTTGATGGATAGACCATGGTGATGTAGATGGAGCCAGGAAGACCTGAGTTCAAATCCTACTACTATTCTTACTAGCAATGTCTCACTTAATCTTTCTTAGCTTCAGTTTCCTCATCTGCAAAAAGAGGATAACAGCAGTATCTACTTCGTAGGGTTGTTGTGTGGATCTGAAGAGACAATAGTTAAAAGTTAAGTGCTTTGCAAACCTTAAATCACTACATGAATATCAGCTGTTATTACTAATATTACTGAAATTGGGTTAAACTAGAACTCTGGTCAGTCATCCTGGGATTTTCCTTTCAAAGATCCCCAATTAAGTGAGTTACTCATTTAGATCAATAACTAAATTATTAACAACTTAAAAAGTACCTTGTATTAAGAAAAGTCTTTCTAGTTTCACTATTTTAGATCAAACAAGATAGGTTTTGGGCACAATGAACTTGAAAGCCAAATCTTTATAATATATTAGTCATCTATTATATTTGCTATCATTTCAATGAAAAAATAATTAATTCTGGTGTCAGAAATACCAAACGAAAAATTTAATACCAAGGAAACCTTAGCAAAATTTTAGAGAGATCTATTAGAAGATTTTCCAGTTAAAAAATGCTTCATCTTTCTCAAACTGAAATGGACAACAGCTGCAGAACACACAGAAATTTTAACAATGGCAGAGAAATGTAATAAGAATTTCAAACTTAAGCATGCAGTCACTCCATGCAAGGCCAGGAAGTTGAATCAAGCATTACTTTGAAAGGTAAAGGAGGACAGTGAACTGCTTCAGTCACCAGATTTCTAAAGTGCTAAATTTAAAAGCTAGTGCAACAAATAAGATAACATAAAACATGACAGTTAATTCGTAATAGGTTCGTCCTCACAGGGTGCAGAAAAGTGATGATTTCATGACCTTAATGAAGACTGAACAAATTTTCTGATGATAAAACAGGAAGTAGAAGGAAATATTAATCTTCAAAAAGATTTAAGAGGTAAGCTGGATTTCTAATCCATATATTAAAGTTATAAAACAAGAGAATTATTATCAACATAGCTTAGGTTTTTAAGAACAAGTCGGCAGATATCTAATTTTATAATTAACTATACGTCAGAAAAATAATTTATTTAAAACAGATGGTTTATGGACCAAAAGTTAATGATGAAACAATTAATGAGGTGAGAATATGTATACTTAGAAACCAAAGCTATTTCCCAGCAACATTCAAGAACGAAATTATTCAGTTCCCAATTTAAATTGTTAACTTTTAAAGAAAGAGAAAAGGTTATTTTTACCATGGCTGTAGTACATGGTAATATAAACTAAACTGACATGATATAAATGAAGAGTTACAGCTTTTTGAGGAAAAAATTACTTTGAAGGCCATCATGTTTTATGTTATTTGGAATATTTCCGAGGGAAGTGTATATTTATGACAAGCTATGTCCTCTAGACTCAGAAGTGTAAAAATTGTACTTCGTGCAGGGTTCTTACCACTAACAAGGCACTATCATCAGTGTGTTGAGACCTTCTGGATGGAAAGGGACACTAGGGAAGTGGGAGAAAAATGAAGTAATGTCAACAATATACAGCAAGGGCAGAAGATAATATAAACAAAATCACACTTTAGAAGAAGATATTAATAAGATGTAATGAGAAGATTGCTAGCAAAGTACCACATTCACACTGCCTTGGAATTCCATTCACATCAATTAATCAACAAACATTTATTAAATGTTATTAATGCTTGGATTTCACTGGGCAAATGTTACTATATGAAAACAGCTTATATGCCACCTAAAATCTTTTGTGAGCGAGAAGCAAATAAGGCAGTTCACACTACGAAGAAGAGAAAGCAGAAGCACAGAGCACCACAGTGACATTTTCATGCCTACTTGGTGAGAAAGAGGCAGAAACTAGGAAGAAATCCTGGCCCCACTCATGGTGAGGTTAGTTGCCTGTCAATTAGGCTTCTCAAAGAAAACCCAGGATGATAGGAGTCAAGTACTCAAACACTTGGGATAGATACATTTGAAAATCAAAATTCCAGGTATTTTTCTCTTTTGATTTTGTCCAGAAGCAGTTTAATTTTTTTGAAAATTCAAATAACCTATGAATATGTTATCAGGAAAGAAGAAAATATTTAAGAGAAGGGAGGTAAGAAAGAATATGGATTATAAGTGCTTTAAAGCTCTGTTGGAGTTATAACTCTGTGTTCTCTTTCAGATACTCTGCCAACTCAAAGGCCTAAATATAAAAAAATCAAATGAAGGGGCAGCTAGGTAGCGCAGTGGATAGAGCACCAGCCCTGAAGTCAGGAGGACCTGAGTTCAAATCCAGCCTCAGACCAAACACTTGCCACTTACTAGCTGTGTGACCCTGGGCGAGTCACTTAACCCCAATTCCCTAAAAACTTAAAAAAAAAAAAAAAGAAAGAAAGAAAAAAAGAAAAAAATCAAATGAAATGATGTTCAGGTACCCAGTGAAGATTTAAATAACAACAACCACATCTTTTCTTTTTCTTGGTCTGAACCACTAATTCATTATTATTCCAGATAATGTCTTCCACTGATGCAGATCTATAATACATATCTAAGACGTGTCAAAGGCAAGACTTGAATCCAGGTCTTGCAGATTCCAAGGATGGTCCTGTACACATGACACGATGCATAATGGATAATTATCTGACTGGAAACAAATTCTCTATCACGTTTGAGTCCAAGCATGATTTTTAAATATATTATGCATTGAAGCTTACCTCATTACCAATATTCAACAAGCATTTAACTGTGTAACACATTCATCACATAAATAAGTTAATTTACAAAAGTAAAGTACAAATTGGAACTTGTTTCTGTTACTTGACACATTTTCACATAAATTTTCTAGAGGGTGAGGATCATACAGTGGGAATGATAAAATGGCATTGTAGAGGGAACATGTTACTGGTAAAACAAATGTAAGTTTTAACAATCTTATCAGAAAGAAAATTAGTTCAAAACAACTAAGTGACTTCTTAACAAGGTCAGGAAATTGCACACATGAACATATAAAGTAAACAGCCTATTCAATACTGAAACACTAACTTACAAACAAGGAATAATCAGTGAAGGAAAGATAGTATGTGATTAAAAAAAAATTACACAGAAGTAGATGGACAGAACACATGAAGTTTTGAGATAAAGGAAAAAAATGACAGTATTTTGATGAGAAAAAACTATTAATAACAATAAACTCCATCATCTGAGAGATAATATTAAATTTCAAAGATAATGTCATGATACAATCTTACTCTCTTACCTCACTCTCAGGAAGGCTTTGTTTCTGTGGGCTCTGTGATGCTTTTTGCTATAAATAAAAATAGAACTTGTTAGGACTAAGTAAATTACAAAAGAGAAATTTTGATCTTCATCACAAAGCACTGATTATGGTGTATATGTACTAGTGGGGGAAGTTTTCTGATGGGGATTTCCCTATACCAATGAAACCACAGGTTTATTTTTTATTTTATTTTATTTTATTTTTTTTTGGGTCAGGCAATTGGGGTTAAATGACTTGCCCAGAGTCACACAGCTAGTGAGTGTTATGTGTCTAAGGCTGCATTTGAACTCAGGTCCTTCTGACTCCAGGGCCAGTGCTCTATCCACTGTGCCACCTGGCTGCCCCCAAGGCTAAATTTGAACTCATGTCTTCCTGACTCCAGGCCCACCACTCTATACATTGCATCACTTAGCTGCCTTTTTTTGTTCACTAAATACAGAATAAAAAATAAGTTAAAAAAAAAAGAATATTGGATACTAATTAAGGGATACAAAAAGTGGTCAGTTGAACCAATTAGAAGGACTTACTAATCAACAAAAGCTCCTGGGAAAACTAGAAAGTAGTATGGTAGAAATAAGATTTAGACCAACATTTAATGTCATATATTCCAATAAGTTCCAAATGGATACATGCCCTAGACATAAAAGGTCATATCATAAATGAGAGGAACAGGGAAGGAAATATCTTTGCTAATTATGGATAGGGGAAAAGTTCTTGAACAATAGACAGAGAGCATCAAAAGAGATAAAATAGTCAATTTCAATTATATAAGCATTTTGTTTAGTACAAACAAAATCAGGGCACTTAAAATTAGAATGGAAACAGTAAACCGGAAAAAAAAATCTTTGCAGAAAATTTCTCTGATACAAGTCTCATATCAAAGATACATAGGGAATTGATTCAAATTATCAAGACCCAAGGGCAGCTAGGTGGCGAAGTGGATAGAGCTCCAGCCTTGGAGTCAAGAGGACCCGAGTTTAAATCTATCCTCAGACACATTACACACTCACTAGCTGTGTGACCTTGGGCAAGTCACTTAACCCTGACTGCCTCACCAAAACAGCAAAAAAAAAAAAAAAAATAAAATAAAATAAAAATAAAAAACAAATTATGAAGACCCATTTCAACAGGTAAATGGTCAAAAAATATTAGCTGCCAGCTCTCAGGAGAAATTCAGGCTGCTGACAACTATGAAAAAAATGCTCCAAAAATAAATGCAAATCAAAACAACTCAGAGGTAGAACTTCATATCCATTATATTGGCAAAGATAAGATTAAAATGGTACCTACTGGAAGGGATATGGAGGGACAAGCCCATTCTTGGTGGAGCTGTGGACTGGTCTAACCAATGTTTTTGCAGAACAATTTGGAATTATTGGAACACTCAATTCATTAAACTGAGCATAATCTTTCACTGAGTGACAACACTACTAGGCCTACACCCCAACGACATTAAAAAAAAGAGGAAAAGGACCTAATGTAGAAAAATACTTGCAACTCTTTTTGTTGCAGCAAAGAATTGGAAACTAAGAAAGTGCCCACTAAATGGGTACTGGTAATAGAAAATTATTGTACCAGAAGAAATGATTAAATGGATGATTTTAGAGAAAACTTTCATGAAATGATGTGTGAAATGAAGAGAGAAAACAGTTTATATTATGACTACAAAATTAAAAGAAAATCCAAAACACTTTGAGACTTGAGAACGGTAATTGATGCAATAACCAACCATGACTCCAGAAGACAGATGATGAAGCATGGGAACCACATCCAACCAATCTTGAGAACAATTTGGAACTATGCCCAAAGGGCTATAAAACTGTGTAAACCCTCTGACTCAGCAATACCACTACTAGATCTACATATCCCAAAGAGATCAAAGAAAAAGGAAAAGGACCTATGTGTACAAAAACATTTAGAGCAGCTCTTTTTGCGGTGGCAAAGAACTGGGGATAAGCATCAATTGAGGAATAGCTGAAAAAGTTGTGGTATGTCATTGTGATGAAATACTACTGTGCTACAAGAAACAGTGAAGGAGATGGTTTCAGAAAAACCTGGGAAGACCTATATGAACTGATGCAAAATAAAGTAAGTAGAACTTTAAAATAAAGTGAGTAGAACTAGAAGATCATTGTACATAGTAAAAGCAGTATCATAATGCTTACTGACTGTGAAATACTTAGACTCTGAGCAATACAGTGATCCAGGACAATTTGGAAGGACTCATGATGAAAACTGCTATCCACTTCCACAGAGAGAAGCAATGAACTGAGTGTAAAGTAAAGTATAAATTTCTAACTTTCTTTATTTTTCTTGCTTTTTGTGTGACATGGCTAATATGGAAATATGTTTTGCATTTCACATATATAATGGGTATCATATTGCTTGTCCTCTCAGTGGGTGGGGAAGGGGCTGGATAGAGTGAGAGAATTTGGAACTCAAAATTCTAAAATATGCTAAAAACAAGTAAAAAATAAATCCACAAAATCAACCAACCAATCAACAAATAAATAAATGAAGAGGAGAAAATAAAAACCAAAGTGATGCTGGATTTTCAAATTCTTTTTCACAAAACCACAAATCACTATCAACCCACATTTTCAGTGAGTAATTACTTTTAATTAGGGCAAAAAAATCAAAATAAAATAAATTTACCCGATGGAATACCAACAGAGGACAATCCACACTGACAGTATCAGAAATACATATGCTTCTGCACTTCTAGGTAAAATTTTGAACACTGGTTGAAAGATCTCACCTTGACAAAGTCCAAAACAGCATCTCTTTGTATTTGTTTGGTCCTTATTTTCTCCTCTTCATACTGCAGGGCAGCAAGTTGTGCTTCTTTCCGTGTACGCTCTACTAACTGCTCTCGTCTCCGGTGAAATTCTGTGTCTGTCTGTGAAAGCTATAAAAACATTGTTATTCCTCATGAGCAAATGGGTAGGATTAAGGCTGAATTCACAACAGGAGATAAGGAGCAGCCAAAAGTGCTTTTCTCTGTCATCTACCATTCCTTAAAAAAGTCGTATTCCCAATCTTTTCTATGGTTTGCATCTTGTTGATCTGGACTGAAATAAGCAGAGGGGAAAAGGCTAGTTTTCAGTTTTGAAAGGGGCTAGAAATTGGAGATGCCTAATTAACTTTAGTGTTTGCATGTAAAACCATAGAACATACATAACTTGTGTGAGCTCACAAACAGATAACAGGGAGATATATCCAGAAACCAATGGCAACTGGTTTAATAACACAAAAGAAAGTAATTTTTTCCCTGAAAAAAAAGAAAAAAAAAAAGCTCTACCACTCAGCAAATTACCTGACTGTGACTCTGTGACAGTGTTAGAAGATAAGATGCTTCAACTGGAATCCTGATTAAAAGAAAGAAACACTTTTTGGTAACTAAATAAATACAGATTCAAGTGACATGTATAATTTTAATATACTGCAAAGACAGCCTTCCAGTAGACTGTTATCAGTAAACTACAACAGTGTGGTCAGTATTGTAAGAGTAACTACATTTTATAAACCTGAGCTCATCATTAAATCAAACCAAACCAATAATTGATGCTAACTCATGTTTCATGTTATTTGATATCACTGATCAATGTACTGTCTGCTAAACAGTATTTATATCACTGGGCCAAATATAGTTAACTATAGATAACTACAGTTACCTAAGGTAACTTTTTCCAAACTTAATCACATATATTATGTCATAGATAGCTATTATTTACCAGAATGAACCACAGAGATGCATGTAAATCAAGATTTTTTTATACACAAGACCATTTTGCAGATGTAAACCTGGCCCACAAGATAACATGGTAATGACTCTTATTAACCTTGTTCTGGTTTTCAATAGAAAAACTCTGTCATGTATAAGAACACAATTTAGCCGTAGAATATGAAAATATAGCTGATTTTGATTTAACAAAGGGAAGCAATCTGGTACTTTAAAAATTCTAATTTTTACATTGGAGTCTCAATGTAAGTGATTTCTTTTCTTTTCCTTTAGCACCTGTCTTTTTTCTGTAAAACTGTAATTTATTAGTTTTTCTGAAGACAAAAGTTTTCAGAATATTAACTTTTCCTAGTTTTTATCATGCTACTTAGGACCTGACTGTCACAACTATAACTAAATCACCCTGAACCATTAGAAATCAGGGTTACTTTACAGTGATCAAGTCACTCCCTTGCTCCAAGGCTCCAAGGGATCTGTCAATGCATACATGATAGGATTCTAATATCTTAGCCTGGTTTCAAGGCTCTCCTGAGCCAGTCCCCTCCAGTTTAATATTATCACCTACTACACCTCAAAAACCTTTCAGTAAACCTCCTGGTCCAGTGTGCTCAGTGTGTCTCTTCAACATACAATGACTGCTGACTCCAAGTTAAACATAATACTCCTCGTGTAAAATGTCTGTACCCTTCCCTCCATATTTCAAAGTCCCATCCTCAAGTTCCATCCCTTTTATGAGTGCTCCAAGGCTATACTAATGTCCTGTCCCTGAACTCTAATAAAGCTTATTTCCCTAAACTGTTAATAGACAATATAAGGTAGCAAAATAATGAAATATATTTCAATCTCAGCCTCCACTGTTCCATGAAACCTTCAAAGACAATCCAGTATAAAGTGATCTAGTTCTTCTGTGAAATTCATGACACTTATCTATGTCACTGATTTGGCAATAAATCACAAATATGACATTTTAAAAAATTGCTTTTTGCAGTATTTATAACATATTTCCACCTAGACTGTAAATTGTATTAGGATAAAAGACATGTCTCATAGGGAGGATAAGGAATTGTATGCTCTAGGAAAGCTTGAAACTTTAAATACTCAGCATGACTACCTGCCAGAAGCCTTCGCCTTAACAAATACCACCGGATTTCTCAAAAAAAACAAAACAAAACAAAACAACCCCCCCCCCCCAAAAAAAACCAAAACCAAAAAACAAAAAACAAATGCTTATATACAATGGAGAGTGGAATTTTCTTTTCTGGACAAGATGGCTGCCTGAGGAAGGACAGACCATCCAGCTTCCACCTGAATCTTCCAGCTAAAACCTGAAATTTGCACCAGATTGATTAATGATCAAGAAATCTAATGAGAAGCTACAGCAAGTTGGTTCTGCTGTGAAGGTCAAATGTGAAATATGTCTTAATTTGCTATCATATAATTTTGTTGAAAAAAAAATTATGCTCTCTCAAAATCAACACAATTATTTTTCTAAAAATGACTATTATCAATTCAAAATGTTTCAAAGCTGCTTGTCTGTGTCTTCTTCTGAAACTTCTCTTCTGTATATGTGTGTATACATACATACATATATATGTATACACACATATTGAAATGCTACATTGACCTTTTCTTCTGTTTGAGGGTGAGGACATTCCTATCACTAGTTCTTGCATAGCAATAATATTCCATTATACTCACATGCCATAATTTGTTCAAGCTTTCCCCAACTGATGGGCACCCCTTAGTTTCTAATTCTTTGCTAGAGCAAAAAGTACTAATTAAATATTTCCAATGCTTTCCAGAACGCCTGGGACAATTCAAAACTACCAACAGTACACATTAATATGCTTATCCTACCCCAGTCTCTTCTCCCAAATAAGTGTCATTGAGGTGGAACCTCAGAGTTGTTTTATTTGTATTTCTTTAATCATTTGTGCTTTAGAGCATTTTTTTAATCTAGCTCTTGATAGTTCTGAGTTCTTCCTTTGAGAACTGCTTATTCATGTCCTTTGACAATTTATCATTTGGGAATAGCTTATTCTTACACATTTGAATAAGATCCTTATGTGTCTTGGAAATGAGACCTTCATCTTTAAGGAACTGCTTCTTTTAATGCTATTATATTCATTTTCTTTTGGCTGTGAGACCCGAGGCCAGTAACTTAAGTTCTCAGGGCTCCAGGCAACTCTAAGACTATAACTTACACAGAAAGTGTTGATTTGCATTGGTAGAGTGAGTTTACTCATCAAAGAGTTTCTTATTCCAATGAAATGACTGGTTTAGTCTTTATTTCTGTCCTAAATATTAGGGAAGCAAAACCCTAAAGACCTTGGAGCTTTCTTCCTTTATTCAGCTTATAAACAATGAGTTTTTAGAATTCTGAGATGAGAGGAATCTTTCTAAGCCCTAAGGAGCCAATTTTGGAAGCACCTTGAATACAAAGATCATTAGTGGAAAACACTACTATGAGCACATGACTAATGGTTCATGTCTCAGTTTCCCTGACTGTAAAATGAGAATAATATTTTGTTTTTGCTTTTCTTCATCTCCTTAACCTACAAATGAACAAGCTCTTCCAAGTTTTAAGGCAGATCATTTCATACTTTTAAGTGTTCAGTAAAATTTTTAAGGCAGATCATTTCAACTTTTAAGTGTTCAGTAAAATTTTATAAGAAATTTTATTTCACTTAAAATACTACAGAAGGCTAATATACAATAGTCTTCAAATTAATTATGCAATAAAAAGGTGAACAGGAATCTTAAATTGGGATTGAAAAAAGCTTATTTTAATATATCTTGAATAAGTGGTATAGGTCATCTATTTTTTGAAAGATTTTAGGTTTGACTAGAGTTTTACATACATAATTTTAATTTAAGAAAAATGTATCAGGCCTAACAAAAATTATTAGGTTAATTGTACTATAAATTATATTATATAACTGAGTCACTTTATTCAAAACTTTTCAGTCAGGAAAGATATATTTTTCTTTGTTGAATAGCTCTCTAAAAATTCAGAACCTGAGTAAGTCTTTTCTAATTCAGTATCCCTAAAACTCTTGTCACTGAATTTTAATTGCAAAGTGAATGATTATGAATAACATGACCTGATTTTTCATACCTGTTTTGATGAGAGTATCTCCTGGTGTCTTCTGTTCTTTGAAAATCTCTAATGGGTACTGGCTTTACTGGTGAATTCTAAACCCAAATAAAGATGAAACATCAAATTTAACATATATATCCTAAATTTTGAACTATGAATTATGTAGTAGTTCAGTTATATACTGAACTATGTAATCAGGGATTTTGTGTCTTAGATTATAAATAGCTTAGCAGAATCTATAGATTATATTTTATCAACATGGCCTTTTAGCATTATTCTAATCTATGATCTTTTTTCTTTGGACTGGACTTGTGATTTTATTGGCATCTCCTTGTCTCAGAGGTCAATGCTCTATCCACTATACCAAGGTGTTGGTTAGCCTTAATACCTATTTTAATACTTCAAGGACCAATGATTTTACTGGTTTGTGTGTTCCCTATATCAATTCAGACTGCAACCCTTTCATACCTCAGGGGGAGGACAGGAAGAAGGGAACAAACATCTACTATGTGCCAGACACTATGATAAGTGCTTTATGAATATCTCATTTGATCTCAGAACAATTCAGGGAGCATATGTGCTATTATTATCCCAATTTTACTATTGAGTAAATTGAGGTGGACAGAGGTTAAGTAGTGTGTCCCGGGTCACAGAGGTAGTAAATACCTGAGGCCAGATTTGAACTCAGGTCTTCCTGCTCAAGCCCAGTGCTCCCTCTACTATGCCACCCATTTTACCTTAGTACAATTTTTTCCTGAGTTGCTGGAGATAAAAAATTCACTACCTGGTGGAGAACTTTGTGGTGATAGAACTTTCTAGACTTAGGCTGGTCCTTGGACAACTGACAAAGTAGGTCTCATTAGCTATATGAATCCCTTTTTACTTGGTTAGGACACTGTAGAACTTGTACTTTTCTGGAAAATCAGTTTGGATTGGTAAATAATGCTGGATTTGGAATCAGGAAGATGTTGGTTAGAAACGGGCCTCCGACACTTCCTAGTTGTATGACCCTGGCTAAGTCATTTAACCTCTCTCCAAGTCTCAGTTTCCTCATCTGTAAAATGGGGATAATACTAAGTATCTACTTCAAAAGGTTATTGTTAGAATTAAATGAGATAAAGTGTGTAAAGCACTCTGCAAATCTTAAAGTACCACAGAAATGTAGTTGATGGTGATGATGATGATAACCTTCAAAAACTGTAACTTTTCCGGGCAGCTAGGTGGTAAAGTGAATAGAGCACTGGTCCTGGAATCAGGAAGACCTGAGTTCAAATTCGGCCTCAGACACATGACACTCACTAGCTGTGTGACGCTGGGCAAGTCACTTAACCCCAACTGCCTCTCCAAAAAACAGAAACAAAAAAAACCAAAAACCCAAAACTCTGTAAATTCTCCATGCCTTGATGAACCATCACAGTAGGACCTTGGTGGAAGGTCAGAAGTATATACTTCAATATTTCAAGGATCTGTGATTTTCCTACTACAACTGAGTAGATATAGATAGCCTTTGAAATGTACTATGATCTAGAAGTTTATTCCCCTATGGCCAAACTGGTAGTAAGCCTCTGATTTAGCTAGACTCATCACAGGACAGAGATGTAACACTTGTCAATATACCCATATTCAATGCTTTTCAGCTTAGCTGATCTTGCTAGTGCTCTATTATCAGAGAACTAGAGTCACCTTCACACCACAGTGGAGACTATGAGTAGGAATTTAGTGCAAGCAGTTATACATAAGCACAAACATATTCACCTACCCACAACACTTCTAGTATTTCATAAAACTATATTTTACTCTGCACAGATTACATAAACACATAGTATAGTAACAGAGAATCTTAAGAGACAGAAGGAACCTTAGAGGTCATCTAGTTCAACCTTTTACACAGTAGATGAATCTCTTTTACATTATACCTGATGTAATAATATAATATAATATAATTAATATAATATAATATGATATGATATGATATATGTCTAGCAATGGAGAGCTCATTAGGTAAATTAATTTTCTTTACTATGTCCCTATCATAAATTGTTGCTGTTGATAAGTACATGTGCAGTTACAAGGCTATCTGATAATATCAAGATGCTGTAAAATGTAATTCTTATTTTTTGTATAATGCTATGTAAAAAAACCCAAGTACCCCACATTCTAGCCAACATGTTTGTCAGAGACAAATTTGTTAATTAAAATTTAGGAATCTCAGCTTAAACAAGAGATTTCCAAAACAAGAAGGTAGCTGTCCTTTTATATTTCCTGCACTGAAATCTTATCATCATTCTTACCATACATCTTATCACAGGACATTAATTTCCTAATATTAATGTGTAATGTGTGCCTAAAAAAGGAAGAGGGACCATTACTATGCCTCCATAGTACTCTATCATAATACACCTAGCAGAACAGAAATATCATTGGCAAGTTCACAAATACAGGTGAGAAAAAGGTTACTTTTAACAGGATTAAAATAGTTGTGTCCTCTACAAAACTCTGCTCTGATACCTTACTGCATGCAGTGTAGAGATAGATGACTCTGGTTTCTCAAAGGTCATACCAGTAGAACTCAGGATCTGATGAGTTCTATAAAGTTAGAAAGGCTCTGAATATCAGTCAGTGGCAGGTTATAGTCTTTTGTCCTATTTGATCTGTTCATTCTGACTACTACTCTCTTTCTTCTCCCTTTTGTGGTTATTTAAACTCCTGGAGAAGGCTATTTACAATAGGTACTTCCTTTTCCTTTTCTCTCACTCTCTTCTCAATTCTTTGCAGTCTAGCTTTCAACCGCATAAATTCAACCCAATCTACTCTCTCTAAGGTTACTAATAAATGCTCTGCCGCCAAATCGAATGAGCTTTTCTCAGTCCTCATTCTCCTGAAATTCTCTGCAGCCTCTGACTCTGTCGATCGCCCTCTTCTCCTTGATACTCTCTTCTCTCCCGGTTTTCCTCTTATCTATCTAACTGCTCCACAGTCTCCTTTGCTATATATTCATCCAGATTATACTTGCTATCAGTGGGTGACCAAAAGGACTCTGTTCTGATCCCTTTTCCGTTCTCCCTCCATATTTCTTCATGTGGTTTCCTCATTAGCTTCCACGGATTCAATTACCATCTCTGTGCCTAATGATTCTCAAATCTAACAATCCTGCCCTAATTTCTCTTCTGATTTAAAGTCTCAAACTCAAAATATCCAAAACTGAACTCATCTTCCCCCCTAAACCTCCCATCTTCCTAATTTCCCTATTACTGTAGAGGGAACTAACATCTTCCCAGAGACCCAGGCTCACAAGCTAAGTGTCATCCTCAATTCCTCATTCTCTCTCACCCTTTATATCCAATCTGTTGTCAAAGCTTGTCGATTTTTACCTTCATAACATCTCCTGAATATGCCCTCTTCTCTTCTCTGACACTCCTACCACCCTGGTAAGGTCATCATCTCATGCCTAGATTAATGACATAGCATGCTGGCTGGTTTCCCTGTCACAAGACTCCCTCTACTCTAGTCCTTCCTCCACTCAACTGTCCAATTCATCTTACTAAAGTGCAGGCCAGACTCTGTCATTCCTCTATTCAATAAACTCCAGTGGCTCCCTATTACTTCCAGGATCAAATATAAAATCCTCTTCAAAGCCTTTCATAATCTATTCCTTTTCTACCTTTCCAGTTTCTTACTCCTTACAACCCCCACACATGCTAGGATTAAGTGACCCTGTCCTTTTTGCTATTCTTTCCATAGGACACTTCACTTTTCAACTACGAGCATTTTCGCTGGCAGTCCCCCATGTCTGGAATGCTCCCTCACTTCATCTATGTCTCCTAGCTTCCCTGGCTTCTTTCAGGTTTCAGATCATATTTCACTTTCTCCAAGAAGCCTTAATTTTAACCTCAGTGCCTTCTGCTGGAGAATAACTACCTTCATTCCCCTGCCAATTTATCCCACATATATCTTGTTTGTATACAGTTGTTTGCATGTTTTTTCCTCCATTACATTGTGAGCAGGGCACTTAAGAGCAGGGACTTTTTTCTTTGTCCTTCTCTGTAATCACAGTGCAGGTACAAAATCAATGCGAGGCTGACGACTGACACAGCCTAGCTAAGTTTGGAGATATTCATCACCAAGAGATTGGCCACTGCTGGTAAAATTTTTTGGCTATTAATTTGGGAAAACTATCTATAGTAAATATGGAATTATTGTTGTCATACACTTTGGTGGAGGGAGTCCCCATTTGCTATTTTGAAGTAGTGAAGTATGTACAATAGAGACATCATAGCAGCATAGAGATGGGGAAAAAAGGAAGAGAGCTTACTGTCACCCTCACTGCTTCAGACATTCAAGCAAGGGATATTCCCATACTATTTTAAATGTCATAGTGCAGGCCTCATTCAATCATCAACGAGTTTTTAAGCAAACAATAAATTTGTTATGCAAATACTTTGCCAATGTTAGAGAAGCTGTCAAAGAACATTTTCTCATTGAATTTTAAGTCATGTAAGGTAAAAGTACTTCATCATATTTTTAAAGGGATCAAGTTTTCAAACAAGCACAACGATTTTAAAAGGTACAGAATAAACAATAATTGTATATGATAAACTGACTTGGATTAAGAAATTACAAATTATTTTATAGCATGTTAATGGGGGCTATTGTGTCAGTTTAAATAATGCTCTAATAAGCATTTTATTTTTAAAAATAACATTAAATTTGACAATGAACCCTTAACATAGCCACAAAATAATGAAAGAAACAAATAAAAGAATTTGTTGTCAAGATCATAACATGTCATTGTAAATCACGCAGCAAATGAGCTGCCCTTTGCTCCTGTAGCGTGAATCATAAATATATTCATCATTCAGCTGGCCCAGTGTTATCTCCAAGTTGTACCACTTTTGGCTAATACGATACAATCCAGCTTTACAAATAAGATGTCTTATAACCTCAACAAAAAAAGTATTATGTACAGAAGTATTTAAATAGAAAAGTCAAAGGCTTTCTTTCTTTTTTATAAGAATAAAAATAATCCCAACGAATACACTCATAGTCTTGAAGTGATCACACTCTGCTTCTAAGGAACTAAGTATATAATTTTCCAAAAAGGTCTGAAGTACATTTCAAATAAACCCTGTTTTGAGTCTTTGAGTATTTCTAGACATCAACATCCTACTCACAAGTAGACCCAACTTCTTTGTTGTTTTTGAATAGAAATACTTATGTGTCTTGCTTCTACTTTGCACCACTGGAATTTGAAAAAGACCTTTTGCAGATGGCAGTGGGCTGAATGCTCTATTGGTTAGCTAAGGCCATTTTGTGCAGCTCACTGCAGAAATATCCAAATAGTTAATTTTACTGATAATTAATTTACATTCTGTGTGATTAAATATCAAATAACTAATCTTAACAATTTAATCCTATTTTACCTTGAGTGTTTACATTAGATTGTAAACTCTTTCATAGTTGGGACTTTTTGTTCCTTTTTGTATCCTCAGTGCTCAGCACAGTGCCTGGCAAAGGGCTGGTGTTTAATAAATGTTTACTAACTGAATGACTACTGCTAAAGAACAACTTTTTAGTTTTATTTGTAATTACTGAACATGTCAATATATAGGCCAGATTTAGTAAGGGGGGGAAGTATTCATTTTTTTTAGTTGCTTCACTATAAAAAAAAAAAACAACTAATAGCTTACTTTGGGAATCTCATTTATTGCCCTTCTAAACTATGAAATAATTGTCCTTGATTGACAGCTGGATTCAAAACCTACTTGGAGTCAATAACTGCTCTTAAAATATACCTGCAGAACCAGAGAATTAAATTTGAAAATTAATTCTTCACAAAATAAAGCAATATTAATACCTGAAGAATGAAGTCATATTGTCAGTAGTCACTCTGAGACTAAAGAATTTCACACTATCATGAAGACTTTTACCAAGGAATAGGAACATACTTGAGTTTAAATATCTGTACTACCTCATGAGAAATTCGCCGCTGTTCAATATATGATGTGAATTGTGAGCTGAGGCTGTCTGAATCCAGGCACTTGGGTTGCCTCATCTCTTCCTCCTCTTCTTCTGTAGCACAGCTGTCGATATAGTCAATCTGATCCAGTTCATGTTCCACTTGACATAGAGAAACACATATGCACACCAGAAAAAGCATTCAGATTAAATAACAGTGGAGAAAGAAACAGAAGCTATTAAGTGTCATATTTACTTGAATGACTCCTCTAGACTACTGACCCACCACACCTTTTCACTGACACTATCCACTTTAAAAGGAGATCAAGTTATATGTATGTCTGTGATCTGTTCTACAGCCACTATCAGAAAAATTTATTTTAGTTACCTTCCCTTTTACGAAAGAATATAATTACTGGCAAAGTTACTGTCATGAGTTTTTTCATCTTTTCATTCTTGTTTCATTCTTCCAACAATTCCTCACAGTTTTGGATAAGGCTATTTATACTTGTGAGAGAGCCAGCTTACTTTTAAGTGACTGAAAGATATTGTTTACATTTAGATTTGTTTTCAAGTACTGGTTTGAGAAGTGAGTTCCTTGGGTTCAGCTCATAGCTTATGTCTTCTCATAGAATTAAAAGTACACTAGATAAGTGACAACTACATATTTCTTCTTATTTCCCTTGAGCTAGTAAACTGTGAAAAGGAGGGTAGAGAGTGAGAAGAAACTGGATGAGGTAGAAGAATGAATGTTAACTAATTTTTCATTCTTTTAATCCTATATATAACCTGTAGCAAATACTCTGATGCAGCTCTAATAGTCTTTTTTTAACTTGATGAGGCCAAATAATATCCTGCTTAAACATAACTTTATTGGTGGCAGGATTATTACTAGTGCAATTATGGAGCAGGGGGATTGTTGTTTGATGGTTTACAGAGATATGAAGGCAACCAAAACTTTTTTTTCTTCTCAAAATGCATGGCAGAAAAAAAATGTTAATAAGTATAAGTATGTTGATTCTTCTAAGTAGTGACCAGCCTATCTATCATTGCAAGTCAAATTTGGGGGTCCTTTTTAAAATAACAGTTAAATAATGGAACATAAAGGAAATAAATTGTTCTTTTATTCAAGAACAACTTTTCCTTTCTGATTTGTTTCTAAAATAATTCCACATTTCAATTTACAGGTAGTATGGCAAAATACATAGAGAGCTGGCATTGGAATCAGGAGGACCTGGGTATTAGTCCTGCCTCTGAAAAATACTTGCTGTTTGACTACAGTAAGTCATTTAATTCCTCAGTGAGCCCTAGGCAACTAAGAGCAGCTGTTGACTTCAAGTGCTGGAGATGGTTTCCACACCACAAGTTTCTCATATGTCAATAACTCTGGTACTTCACCAAATTAAATTAATGTAAAAGATAAATTTCCAAGTTATCACTATTGTACTAATGTAAAGGAGAAAAGATTCCTATCTCACAGAAAAACCAAACTATAAATTTTATTTCAATTTGCTTGTCTCTGCCAGTCTAGGCCCAGTCCACGTTATAGCCAAAATAATATCACAAGGAATAACTGAACTGTTAAAATGACAAACTATTCAGGAATTGTTACGTATCAGAAATGGATAATAGTAATGTTTCTGATGGTGAGGAAAAGAAAACAAAAAAAGAAACTAGCACCCAAAAGAAGTGGGGAGAAAAAAATTTAGGAAACACAGAGGAGATGTCATTTTTGATCATCTTTGTTGTTTGTTTTTCAGTCATTTCAGTTGTGTCTGACTCTCTGTGACCCCATTTGGGGTTTTCTTGGCAAAGATACTAGAGTGGTTTGCCATTTCCTTCTCCAGCTCATTGTACAGACGAGGAAATTGAATCAAATAGGGTTAAGTGACTTGTTCAGGGTCACACAGCTAGGAAGAGTCTGAGGCCAGATTTGAACTCAAGTCTTCCTGACTCCAGGCCTAGCACTCTATCTACTATGCCACCTAGATGCTCCTTGATCATCTTTAGGACTGAAAATATGAGCAAGTGTACTTGATGTCATCTCAGTGGGCCTTAGTTTCCTCATTTGTAAAACTAGAGGACTGAGCAAGATCTCTAAGTCCCTCCTATCTTTAAGTCACAAGACTTAATGATACAATGAACTTCTAGATAAATGATACCTGAACAGAATGGTAAAACAAGTAGGCTACCATGAGGATTACTTGGGAGACGAGAGTCAAGAGCTCCCTTTTACTAATCTTTGATCCAGAATAATGGTCACTTTTTAAATTACTCAAGTAAATGAGATTAAGATACAAATGCTCTGAAAGGGCATAATTTTGGGGAAAACACAAGCTCAAATATAACAAAGTAACAGTCACTTTCCTTTCTAAATATGGGCCAAAAATTACTGCCACCTGCCTACGGTTTTGATGGAAGTTGCACGCTACCTAGAAGGAGATTAAAATGTTTACAGCAACAACACAAAAGTTTTTGGTTTTATTTTCATTAAGGTTTTCCCCCAAACAGTAAAGGATATGAAAAATATTAAAAGAAGAAAAGAATTTTGGAAACAATAATTAAAACTGTATTATGAAGCTGCTACATTTGGAATCAAGTCCACATGATGCGGTTTGAGGGGTTCAAGGACCTCTCAAGGACCTAATTATAGGACTGGGTCATCTGGAACGAATTCGCAGACTCAAGCAGTCTTCCAGTCAGGGGGCAAAAAGTTTATTTTAACTCTAATATAGTGGGCAGAGCTCCTTAAGGAACTTGCCATAGTGGGTAGAGCTCCTTAGGGAACTTGCCAAGGTGGGCAGAGCTCCCTAGGGAACCCGCAACCTAACAAGAATGATGCTAAAGTACTGAATTGTGTGCCAAGTATGCTAATTAGGTGATAACATACAACCTTAGTCACAGGTGTTATTTACTACTGCTAAGGAGTGTATTTTTGGTCTATTATGTCTGTAACAAGATAGTTTCAGGAGGTGATGTATATAACCTGACCTCTGGATCGTATACAATAACTGTGGGAAACAGTACATGATAATTTTGTTGATACAAGATAGTACAAAGGAAATTCTACAGAGGTCAGCTTGTTCTTCTAACAGAAAGAGATAGTTTGCCTCACTGGGCCCACTCCTGAGTTACTGCCAGAGATAGGGTCTTTCAGCTGAAGAGAAAATTGTCAGGGATAGGGCAACAGGATGGAGGTGGGCTTGTCCAAGCTGATGCAAATGGATACCTACTGAGGTGTTATTGTGCTCTTGGAATTAGTCCGAGAGTGGATGTGACCTTGGGCTACTATTGTGCACATTAGCCAGGGGCTGATGTAACCATGGGGAATAGGCCTTCCCTCCCATTGCCCAATCAACGGTCTCCTGTCTCCTTTTCTCTCAAGAAAGGCTAGGGAGAAATATAATCTTGGAAGTGAAGTCTGAGTACAAGCACCCAAGCACCCCATCACACACACAAAACAATTTTCTGAAATCAAAAATGAAGAGAAAAAAGCTGCAGGGACAGAAAAGAAACTACAGGAACTAGAATAAAGGGAAGAAGATGTAAGAAGCATTGAACAATTTAGATGTCATCAATGTATATTTACCTCCACCATTTGTTACCACTGTGCTGCCTCGGTTTTCTTGGTATTGGCTTTCTCTTCGCAGTCTCTGTTCTTTAGTGATCTCTGCTACTCGCAAAGGTAAATCTGAAAATTCATCTGTAGGCTTTACAAAATATTAAAGACAATAAAGAAATGTTATTTCTAACTTTAGTCAATATAAATATATGAAGCATGGATTAATATCTAAATGTGAACTGAAAATTTTATACATAACAGTCAAATATATGAACAAACAGAGCCAATGTCCAAGTCAGGTATGTGTTGTGTTACAAAAGTTCATTTTTAAGTCACTTCTTAGAAGCTCAGAAACATTTTTTATAGAAAGAGTACAATAAATGGTGGTTGAATAAAAAATAAAAAAAGCTGAAACCCAATAAACTTGCCTTGAAAAACACAAATATGGTCATTAAACAAAACAGAAAAAATAAAGTTGAAAAAATTTATAAAAATTTATCTACAATAGAAGTGGTTATAAGGTTGATTCCTTTTTCAATCTCATCAGTTGGAAATAGATACTCATTTGGTTTTACTTTTCTTTCTTTTCCCTAAATAGTTAACTATCACCTAGAAACTTCACTAAACCACCTTGCCCTACTAATTTCAGAAAATAGTTGTGTTCCAACTATCAGTCTCCTATAGTCTTGTCAAATTCAAATAGAAATATATTTCTGCAGAAAACCATAAATTATCTAAGTTATACTGTATTCTATTTTCTTAAACATTTCCCAACTACATTTTAATCTAGTTCGGGGTATGCCACATATGGACCAGGTCTGACACCCCTGTCCTACACCATCTACAATGCTTTCCCCTTGATTTATCTCAGAAAAGAGTTAAGAACACCTTTTCTTCAATCGTTCCTGAGATTGTTCCTGGGTACTGTCTTAACTCAACTCTTTCCTTTTTGTTCTGAGGAACCAGAAATGAGAACAAGTGAAGCTTGAATTAGTAGGTGGTCTAGATTAAAGAGTTTTGTTGGGGAGGTAGGGAGGTTGCCAATTTGCTCTGCAGAGGTAGACAAAAGTAAACAGTAATGAAAGGAAGAAGGAAGATTCAAGGAAGGAGTATGACTATGTAGCAGGCAAAGAAAAATAGGAAAGGAAGAAAGAGGGATCAAATTAAATTGCCTTCTATGTATAAGGCATTGTACTCTATCTCTGTACCTCCTTCAAATTTTAGTGCTTTGCACATAGTACTTGCTAAATAAATAAATAATTACTAAACTGTTGAATTGATGTGAAAGCTGAGACACCCTATTCCTATTTCTAAAAGGCAGCAATTAAGTTTCTCCCTGAAAGGATCCTATCCCCAGAAACCTTAAATGTTTTGGCAACAAGAACCCAAAGAATAACACAAGCCTCAAAGACTCTGGCCCATACTAGCTGTTGAGGCAAGTAAACCATATTACAAGCTAATCCAATTACAGGCAGGTATATGGCTTAGCGGACAAAATACTGGACCTGGCTCAATACTAGAGTTCAAATTTAGCTTCAAATACTTAACTAACTTTAGACATGTTACTTAACCTGTCTGCCCCAAGTTACCCAACTGTAAAATGAGGCAAATACCACCTACCTTCCAGGATTGTTCTGAGGATCAAAGCAGGCAATATTTGCAAAGTACTTAGCACAGTGTCTGGAATAGGGTAGGCTGTTTTCTTTCCTTATGTAAACCATTGACTAGCGAATTATGGCATATCTACCCAATGCTCATTGTCATTAATTGTGTTAGAATTAATGATATAGTGAAAAGGTAATAGGCATTTAATCTGTATTTTATAGAGTTTTTTCCCCCATACATCAAGGAGTTTAAATTGGGTTCTGATTATTTTGAGGACTGCCATACATACTAAATTAATTCAAATTAGGTTATCTGTACAAATGCTCCTGAGTATTAACTGGCCCACCATGGTAATTAAAGAAAAAAAATAGCTGTATGCTGAAAAAAGACAAAAAATCACCATGCGAAAATATAGCGTTTTTTTTTTTTTTACATCTTTCAACATAAACAGAGATATATGTAGGCTCTAAAAGTTTTACTGACATCTTTTTTTTTTTTTTTGACACTGTGGTCACTTCCCAATATGCTTTCCATTGACCCCTCCCTTACCACAAAAGAGCAATCTTGCCTTTGTAATGTAATATTTTGTACCAACATATCCTCACCACTATGCAAAAAGTAGTGAAATATGTTTCACCATTAGTCATATTTAATGAGGTAATTATTGTGTATGAAGTTCTAGTTCTGCTTTATTTGGTATCAGTTCATTTATAAATCTCATATTAAAAAGATATTTGATGCTTGATTTATTTTTATTATGATTGTTCTTTTTTTCTTTATCATTTTAACTGTCATTCTTTTATAAGTCAATTATAGAACATACTTTTGTTTTACATAAGCATGACTGGAGGTTTGGGGAAGTGTGGTCTATATTCAGATCATTATGTATTTTGTTCATCTGTATATGTATCTGTGTGTTTATAACACCTATGTATAAGTACTTCATGGTGCATGGTGAAAAAATTTTTTAGTTCTATTAATTAGAAAACATTCCATTTTTTTGTCCTTATTCTCCTATCTCTGAATATTTAAAAATTACTTACTTCATTCCCTGACCACCTCTTATCACCACTGTCCACACTATTAAAACCAGAATCAAGGGCTCCATATGGACGACTTGAGTACAATTCTTCAGGGCTGAAAAGAAACAAATTTCAATTAATTTATATTGTTAAAGCAAAGGCAAAAGTGGCACTTTTTTTTTTTTAGTTAGGCAATTGGGGTTAAGTGACTTACGCAGGGTCACACAGCTAGTACATGTCAAGTGTCTGAGGCCAGATTTGAACTCAGGTCCTCCTGAGTCCAAGGCCAGAGCTATATCCACTGAGCCATAGCTGTCCCAGCACTTCTTTTTAAAATGAAATGATAGCATCAACAAATAGTAGTATTCACTGAATACAGTGGCTTGTACAGAATAAATGTACAATTGAATAAGCATTCATTTTGACCTGATTCTCAGAATCTCAATTTTTCTTCAAAACTTTGCTCAAGTGTCATTTTCTACATGAGGCCTTTTCTGATGCCTCCAGCTATATGCGCCTTCTCTCTCATAAATTTACATTGTTATTTCTTTTATTTAAAAAAATTCTTGTAGTAACAAAAATTAGCATTTTTATGTACAAAGTGGAACATAAAAAGAGGACTTCAAATGAAAATACAAATCTCCATTCCATGCCATTGGCTTTTTTAGAAGTATATAATAAATGTAACATGTTCAACTTTTTGAATATTTTTTTTCCAATTACATTAAACATTCATTTAAAAAAATTAAGTTCCAAATTCTCTCTCTTTCTTCCTTTTCCCCTCCCTGAGACAGAAAGCAATTTGATATAAGTTATACATGTGCAATCATGCAAAAACATTTCCGTATTAGTTATGTTGTGAAAGAAAACACAGATTGCCCCCCGCCTCAAAAAACACCTATTAAAAAAAATAAAGTGAAAAATAGTATGCTTTGATCTGCATTTAGACTCTATCAGTTCCTGCCCTGGAGGTGGATAGCATTTTCCATCATATGTCCTTCAGAACTGTCTTGGATCATTGTATTACTGAGAATAGCTAAATCATTCAATGGTTGACTACAATATTGCTGTTAAAGTGTACAATGTTCTCCTGGTTCTGCACACTTCACCTGGATCAGTTCATGTAAATCTTTCCAGGTTTTTCTGAAAGCATCTTGTCCATCATTTGTTATAGCACAATAGTATTCCATTACATTCATATACTACAACTTATTCAGCCATTCCCCAATTGATGGACATCCCTCAATTTCTAGTTCTTTGCCACCACAAAAAGAGCTGCTATAAATATTTCTGTACAAATAGGTTCTTTTCTTTTTTTAATCTCTGGGATACAGACCTAGTAATGGTATTGCTGGGTCAAAGAGCATGCACAGTTTTACAGCCCTTTGGGCATAATTCCAAATTGCTCTCCAGAATGGTTGGCTCAGTTTCACAGTTCCACCAACAATGCATTAATGTCCTACATTCCCTCCAATATTTGTCATTTTCCTTTTCTGTCATGTTAGTCAATCTGATAGGCATGAAGTGATATCTGAGAGTTGTTTCAATTTGCATTTTTCTAATCAATAGTGACTTAGAGCATTTTTTTATGTGACTATAGGCAGCTTTGATTTTTTTTGTTGCAACATGCTTTGTTCAAAGCTATTCTGCTTCTCTTTACTTCCATTCTCTTCTGTGAATATAAAAAAATGGTCCAATGGCTTTTTTGTTGTTGTTGTTTTCTTTCTGGCATCATTCCCCAACAAATCCTGTGCCACTCCAATTAAAATGGCTGGGTTGGGGGGTAGAAATTCTTGTAACAAATAAGCATTGAGAATAAAAAAAAATCCACACAGTGACAATGTGTGAAAATATATTTTTCTTTCTGCACCATGACTCTATCATCTGTCTTTAAGAAAGTGATTAATATGCTTCATCATACAAGTATTATGGAGATTTCTATATGACTGGTCATTAAACTCTGCTAAAGTCCTTCCACATTACTTTTCTTTACAATGTTATTATTATATATATTATTCACCTAGTTCTACTTTACTCTGCATTATCAGTTCATACAAATTTTCTTCCCAAGAGTCTCCAAAATTGTCTCTTTCAGCACTTATGGCACAATAATACTTCGTTACATTCACATACCACAGTTTGACTTAAGCCATTTACCAAGTGATGGGCATTCAGTTTCTACTTCTTTTCCTTTCAATTCCTCTTTCAGGACTAGTAGGGTTGTTTAGCTTCAAACTATTTCCTCTCTGGTATTAATCTCCCTTTACCACAGACTGTCCTTTTTTCTGTATAGGTGTTTTCCTTTTATCCTCCTTTCTCTTTCTCCTCTTAAAACCCTCTGAACAGATTTAATCCATTTCTAGGATCTGTTTTTCTTATTTAACTTCCTAAGGCTCTGAAGGGACACTTGTTTCTCCTTCCCCATTAGAATGTTGGCACTTTATTATTATATAGCCCTCTCCAATTGCACAAATAAATTTACCTTTCTAGGTTTTGCTTGACTCTTGTGTTTTCATTTCAGAGTTCCTGTTCAACTCCGGTCTTTTCACAAGGAATTCTTGAAGGTCCTCTATTCCATTAAAAATAATCTTTTTTCACTCTAGGATTACACTCAGATTTGCAAGATAAATTTTTCTTGACTGTAAGCCTGTATCTTTTGACTTCTGAAACATTATATTTCAAGATCTTTTGTCATTTATAGTAGAAATGGCCAGGTCTTACATGATCTTGAACGTGGTATTTGAACCCTTTCTTTCTGGCTGCTTGGAGTATTTTTTTCTTTGGCCTAGATAGAAGCTCTAGATTATAGCTATGACATTCCTAGAATTTTTTCCTTTTGATATTCTCTTTAGGAGATGATTGGTGATATTTTTCTATTTTTACTTTGCCCTATGGTTTTAACAGAAACAGGCAGTTTTTAATTATCTTTCTTGAAACATGGTGTTCAAATTTTTTTTTAAATTATGGTTTTGAAGGAGTCCAATAATTCCTAAATTATTTCTCCTTGATCTATTTTCCAGGTAGGTTGTTTTTGGTAGCAGATACATTACATTTTTTTTTCTTTTTTCAATATTTTGATTTTATTCTAATATTTCTTGTTGCCTCATGACTCAATGATTTGATTGGTTTATGCTAGTTTGCTGGGAATTCATTTTACTTTGTTGCTACTACTTTATCTTCTGAGCTATTTATTCCCTATCCAATTCTTTCCTCCAAGGCTTTTATTTCATTTTTAAAATCTCTTGCTTCATTTCTTTTAGGTATTCATGTAGTTCACGTGGAAAATCCATTTTTTCCCCTTTGAGTCTGTGTATAAAGTTGTTGTATAATTACTCTTTTCTTCTAGGTTGGATTTTTGGGAATCTCTGGATCCACTATAATTTTTTATAGTAGCCTATGTTTTCTTCTTATATCTTCAGCCTCAGTTTCTGAATCGAGGCTTTGTATTTGGGCCAGGCTCCATCTCATTATGTATTTTTTCAGGTGGAGTGGGGCAGTCAGTCTGGTTTTCAGGGTCACCTGGATTACTTGCTGACCTCCTCTTCCCAGGGTGAGTATGCAGGGTTCTCTAGCATCAGGATAAACATCTAGGGACTTCAGAACCCCTGCCTCTGCAGATCATGGTCAAGAGCACTGCCATGCCTGGGCTGGTTGCTGTAGCTCATAGTCACTTCCAAAGCCCATGCTGTGAATTTACTATCAGGAGTGAGCTGGTAAATGTTTAACAATTGGCTCTCAAAAAAAAAAAAGTATGCATGACACACTTTTTAGTTCAATCTGCACTATTAACATTTTCTCCATTACTTATGTCTAGACAATCAACCATCACAAATCACTTAAGCCCTGATTTGTAGTATTTGTTGATTTCCAAGGTGTAAATGCTCACACTGAAAATTTAACAATGAGCTCTTGGTATGAATCAACTCCAGTACACCACTATTTGCAACCATCTTTGGTGCCTTTTTTTTTGTGGGAGCTCCCTACTCCTATGTAGCAGCTAAGTCTCAAGTCATATGAGGAAATTTATGTCTTATCTGCCCATACTGGCACTGCCTTTTCTAGTGTGCACCCTTTACTACTGCTTATGGGCTTCTGGCTGACTTTTTTAAAATTTTAAATTCTGGGGTAGATGATGTCACAATATAGTTTCTCACAAGATCACTTAATATTTAGTCTAGTGCTATTTTTAGGTTTTTGTTGTAGGTGTGTGAAAGCTGGGCTGTCTTCTTCCACTGAGGTAGCTATCTTGCCAGAAGTACTTATATTTATTTATTATATTTACACACACACACACACACACACACACACACACACACACACACACACAAGCAAGCTAGGTGGCACAGTGAATACACTGTGAAGCACGGAATCAGGAAGACCTGAGTTCAATTATGGCCTCAGATGCTTAGTTGTATGACCCCTGGGTAAGTCACTTAATCTCATCAGTAAAATCTGGATAATAATAGCATCTACCTTTCAGGGTTGTTATGAAGATCAAATTTAATCAAATCATATTAAAGCACTTAGCACAGTGCCTGGCACGTAATAAGCATTATATAAATGTTAGCTATTATTAACTATTATTAGTTATTTTATATATATTTTATATCCAATTATGTACATATCTCCCCCCAATGGAATGAGTGCAAAAACTTTTATGTCATTGTTTCAGCAGAGCCTAACATAGTTCTTGGTTCACAGTGGATGCTTAATAAATGCTTACTGATTTATTATGTATTTGGAATTAGTAAAATGTTTATATTAACATTATCAGATATTTTCAAATTGTAAACATCTACTTTCTCATCTACAGTAGAGACCCAAATACAAATTTACAGTATAAGATTTATTTCTTCACAAGTTGATATAATTATTTAGTAAATCTGTTTGAGTTGAACACTAAAATCTCTCAACAGGGATAAGACCTGGAATTTCATTGGTTTAGGGAACTTCCAGATAAGGAAACTTCCTCTGCTAATGAAGGTCAGCACCTTCACTATAACTTATAGTCTTTAGAGAGCTGCTCTGAGCACAACTGGTTAAGTGACTTGACAGTGTCACAAAGCCAATATGTATGTGTCAGAGGTGGTACTTGAACCTAGTTCTTACTGGCTT